TACACTTTAAAGCTCACTAACCAGCGAGTTCGGATTCATTTCAGTTTATTAGGACTGGGGTTAGAGCTATGGCTAGCTAAAGATAGCACATACACGAAAAATGGCCATAACGGATTTTGGGGTTGTAAGATAGACCATAATGTCAGCACACGTAATAGTTGGGGCTGTTGGACTTCGGCCCAAATATTCATATGCAATTTCAGTCTGCGTCCACAGACCGTAGACTACAATGATGTACTGCAACTTAGAGATTAATTTATGAGGAAATTAAAAAAAGCAACAATTATGGGTCTTCTAAATCGTCATTATACATACTTGTAGAATATTATCTACTATATCTTGTGCAGCATTTTGGTGTCCAGTTGGATGGAACACGCTCACCTCAGAGGCCCTAAATTTAAGCACAAGAGCGTTAGGGCATGAGCCGTCAGTAATAAGAAGGCTGTGTATAAAATAGGCCAATACTCGAAACTAAAATGATTTAAAGAGGTACCCACGAATTAAGGGGGGGAAAAGGAATCATAAAGGATAGAAGGCTGACAAAAAGGATTGTTGAAAACGAAGGCGCACAATGGTATTCTTTAGGTCGAAACAGAGAACCTACAACTCTTCAAGACGAAAGTTAGACCCCAATATTTAGGGAAAAGCAAAGAATTTTAGATTTTTAAGGCGCCTAAACAAAAGTATTTTTAAAGTATAATTAAGAAGTAAGTAATATTTTAAGTCGAATTGTTACACAGGAGTGTGGTGAGTAAGAGGAGAATTTAAAGATGATGAAGGATGAGCGACAGTTGGTTCAATGCGGCTACTGATCACGGGCTTCGAAGAAAGTACTTAGACACCAACGACCTTAAAACAACGTTGTAAGCAGAGGTCAAAGAACCCAGAGGACAGACATTCAAAACTGAATTTTAAATTTACAGGGTTCACCACATACTATAAATGGGGTCTACAGCCGCATTTTACGATAAGAACATAACTCAGGGTAGCAGAAGATGCCTGAGAGCAGACGCGTGATAAAATCACAGTCATTATCCCAAACAAGGAAGACGGTTACAGTGAACTTAATGCTAACCCGGCAAGACCAAGGCCACACTTTGAGAATTTAAACCACAAGACAATTCAGAATTGCCGCCTAAAATACGCAAGAAGTGTCAACCGTCGGACATGCGAGAAACGGCAGGTGCAATGGGGGAAAGCCAAACGAGAGTGATTTGACGCACTTTTCCCGAGAAAGTAACAGTGCATGCTATGCACGTCGAAATCCGGAGGAACAGTATGTTGAGCCGCCATCAACGCCTGAGCCATGAGTTCGCCACCATAGATGGTGCGCGAATTGAGCAGTGGACCACGTTTGGCTCTGAAAAGCGGGGAGGGGAGGGATTAGAAAGTATGTTCAATGCAAGAAAGCCCACGAAGAATGGAAAGATTGTTCTACAGCGTGAGAGGCAGCAGCCTGAACTCAAACGCATAAGTGTTATAATCACACTATACGAAGGAAGCTATCGCAGACTTAGGACAGTGACTGTGGCGCTAAGTTTTAACAAGAAAGGTATCAGGAGCAGTCAGCAAACTTCAAAAGCCAAACGTGTAAGGAGGCGGAGGTGAAAAAACCAGAATGATAAAGCAAGAATGAGAGAGAATAGTTCTGAATCCCTTTTGGAATGTCCGATGCCATCGTTGATAAAAAGGCTTCCCAAAGTGTCGACAACGAAGTTCTGAGGCTAATGATGCGACGCATAACTAAGAATACACGATGAAAGCTATTGTTCCGTAGTATCCCATGCGCGAATAGGAGAGCAACGGTGATTTAAGACTAGGTGATCTGATAGGAAAATACAAAAGGCATGATAAATGTCCAATGGAGGTGGCGGCAAACGATGATGATGATACTGTGGAGAGGGCAGATACAATCGTAAAAAAACTAGAGTCGCCCAAGCCGCCAAGAAACTGTTGTTTTTTATATCTCCACTTCTTGTGTGTTTTAGTCTGCTTTAGCTCCAATTTTCGCACGTTGGGTTCTCGTAACACATATCCGTACATTAATTAGTCTACGCCGTACGTCCCTATTACCTATACGACAGTTAATTACAGCTCCTTATACCTATAGGCTGACGGGCTGCGGTTCGTTCGTCTCGGAAACTTTGCTGATAGGCATGTAAGGGAGCTCAGATAAGTCCAAAATCGCAATCTCCTATCCGAAAACTTGCAGTTTTGCAACGCGCAGTGGAGGAAAATCTTGCTGAGCAAATGTCTTCAGTATGAGAGACAGGCTTTTTCACCACCACGTAATTATTTCTCCCAATAGCAACCGATTACGTGGTTAGTCCACAGGAGCCGATGGATTTCACTTCCATCAGTCATGCCGACTTTCAGACCGAACGCGGAGAGGTTTGCTTTGGCGTCAGTTTACCGCTCACCAATATCGCTGAAATAGAACCCCTGACAAACCAGAACTGATGAATTCTTTTTTTACACAGGTTGAACCAGCGGTGAGAAAAGTACTATATAATCATTCGTTGCCACAAACCTTTGCATTGCATGATCGGACCATTCTAGCGCAGTAGGTTCTTCTCACGGCGGAAAAGTCGGAGAATCAAACACCGAGCCTGTTGACAGATCAGAAAGAATGATCCGGCGGGAATTCTTCAAACTGCGAGAATCGAAAGACCCAGACGTATCTGGCCCTAGATGCCGCTCAGACCGCGGTGTCCAACCAAAGCGAAAAGTTTTTCGTCCTTTTGGCCTGCCGGGATCTGCTCGTGATCATTTTGCTTGAGAGCATTGGCACTGAACAAGGTTG